CCAGGCTATAACTTGGGCTTACCGAAACGGAGGACAGGTCGACAATAATTACACAATCCACTGACAGAATCAGTCTCTGTTACATTGTTAGAAATCGACAACCTATACAGTTTACTCAATCACCATCTTTTCTGGACATTTCCCACGAGATTCACGAAAGGTCTATTGTTTTTTTTTTCATCCAATTCCAAGGTTATTCGATGAACTTTCAAAAATCAGGTTTCTTCCCCGAAGTTCTTAAATTCGACCCCCAAAGTTAAAAGCCGGATTTAAGTTTAGGTATGGTAGTATGCCATGTCGAATGAAGGTCAACTTCCATCATCGCCTGCTCCTTGCTTTCATTACTTCACCAACGCATTCAAAGCTGCTCGTGATATTTGTGCGGTATACGGAGATGAGACAATTAGGGGGCAAGAACTCTTCGTTGAGTTGGATAGAAAAGTCGACTCCACGGCTACGGTAACAACTTTCAACTGAGACTTTTCTGAGAATGTAAAAAAAAAAACAACAGAGCTCGTTTTATAGCGCAGTAAGAGGGAAGCAAGAGACGACTGCGGCAACAGTACCGGCTGATTTCCTGCTATAGGAAATGGTTTTCTATTCAATGACTGCGTTGTCCACTCGACATTCCACTTTGCAAGTCTTAAATTCATCCTGAGCCATAGTTATTCTGACAACAGTAAAATACTTCTTCTCAGGGCAAATAACTGCATTTCAAGGGGTTACCTACTACATGATCTAAAAGCAGAGAACCTTATAGGTAGAATGTCTGTTCGAAACGTTTGCGTCACTGACGATATGAAATTACTTATGTAACGATGTGTGAACTTACAGAATTAACCATAAGATACTCTCAGTGGACCTGTGACCAGGAACGAACGCAACCTACAAACTTTATAAACAATCAGCAAACATTTCACGTTATCACCGTTGACAACTCAGTCAGTCCATACGATACATACTCATAAATTTCTTACAAAATATCAGGGTAGAGGTGCTTTCTCTGCTTTCTAACTAGCGTTGTAAACAAGCATTAGTGAATAACAGGCTCGATCAAGGCAATTTGGACACCACTGCTCAGTACGTCAAACTACTTCGTAAACTTTGTAAGCATAACAATAACTAAGCTATGTGCTATGATATGTCATATATTTAACCATAATCGTGTGAAGTGCTACAATGGAATTTGAGCACTCTGACTGTAGAATTACAGAAGCGACAGCATATTTGAGACCTTGTGTCTTTACCATGGTGCGTCCAGGTAAGTCTCCTAAGACTGACTTGAGAGATTCATAAAAATACCAGTCACTAGACTGAACCAAAGACAAAACGAGTTTTCAAATAGAAGCCGCTTCTGCACTAATACGACCCGTGAATCCTTGGGTTTGTGAAACCCGTGCTCTGTTCATACTATGACAACTGCTGACGACTTATTGCTGCTCCATTCCGCTACTCCCCGTCGCATGTTCCAATGAGTAAATGATTACACGCTCGGGGCTAATTGTTGACTGGAGCAGCAATCAGCCCCAAGCGATTTGCGAAGTATGATCACAGCCTTATCTACAAACGACGACAATTTCTATTTGGACGAATTTGCAGCCATACTGGCTACTTAGCCGAATCATAATATTGTCATCACAGTGCTACTACCGGATGCATCCGAGCTCACCACCACATTACCATCCATTGGAGAAATCTAAAAGTTTCAAACTTTGTTTTCATGAAGAGTATCATTCACACTGCCCCTGCACGACAATCAGATGTGCAGTAATATGAAGCTGTCAAGGCTGTTCTTGAGTATTTTATAAATATGACCAAAGAAAGACCAACTTGGGAACTTACTCCCGCCACGACGGGTGAAGCAATGCTATTCGATAAAGAAGCTGGTGACGACAAATGCGCTTGTAGGCTGTCTGGTGCCGCACTTTGATTGTTCACGTCGTCAAGGATGAACTCCGATAGCAGAGAGTCGACCTAACAGGAAATTAGGTTCCAATGGAAAATGTTTAAAATTAAAATAAAGTGCTAGAAAAATCAAAGACACACCTCTGCCAGTCCAAAGAATTTCGTGAGTGTCATGTTCTCGATCAGTAGCTGTGTCAGTGCCTTGAGAGCAGGCGCCAACAGCAAGATGTTCCCATACCTAAAAAGCCACCTCGGTCTGATATATCACAAAAGCAACGGCAAACAACATTAGCCAGCAAGAGCTGTCACTCAAAAACTAATGGGCAACGTCCTTATCTTTAGAAAAAGTTGCTATAGTAATCCTGATTTCATACCTAGTGGGTGCTTCTTCGCGATTATGCTCCAAAATGAAAGCGTAAAGTGACTTGAGCACTTTGTTACGAGCCTCTCTCACTTGGGTTTGACTTGACTGAGTAAGTCCTTTCGCTTCCGGATGTAGAAAGGCGAGCGCCTGAAAATGGGATCACATCCTCTTTTCGATAAATCGCAAAATTCACTTCACCTCTAACGGATAAATTTCAAAGANCTCGATCAAGGCAATTTGGACACCACTGCTCAGTAAGTCAAGCTACTTCGCAAACTTCGTAAACATAACAATAACTAAGCTATGTGCTATGATATGTCATATATTTAACCA